GCAAAAAACTCTTTAAGTGTAATCAAGTCGCAAACCTTGGTCGAAAACCAGTCATCGTTATGGCACTGAACATGTTCTAAGAATAAGTCACTGACCCCAAGAGCAAGACATTTTAGGTCGCCTACATGGAAATGTTTCTTCGACCTTTTTGCAACCAGGTCGGATCGACTAGTATCTCTTCAAACGCATCAAATCAAGGCATAATATGTAGTTTCCAAGGTTCGATTCTCAAACCTTAAAAACTAGGGGACTTCTGTTATGCCTGAAAAAGTAGGGCTGACGCAGAGCCTTGTCAGCATAAGCGGTCAGAGCTTAGGTAAGTCTTGTAGCCATTCAGACGAAGCCACGTCGCACGCTAACGCAAGCGGCATGCTCCTGCCAGTGTAGTGGGTGTGCGCTAGGCTAGTGAAAGGCTAGAGATGATTCACGTGTCCAATCCCTGTAAGCATCGAGTAAATCACTCGAGCAGGTGAGTAACGGGACGCAAGGAAGGATTTGCACGGTAATCTGACTCACTCCTTGATTTAGTAATCATTACCTTAACTCATCCCACTATAAATAGAAGGTTCTTCCCTCGTTTGTGAGATTAGTTAATTTCTCTCTGGAATAGCATATAGACATACTCTCTCTCTCTCTCTCTCTCTCTCTCTCTCTCTCTCTCTCTCTCTCTCTCTCTCTCTCTATCTCTCTCTCTTGTAATCTCTTGTAAGTCAGCTCGCTGAACGCGACCTGACCACATATATTAATACGATACCAATGGACGTAGGATTCGCTTACTTAAGCATCCGAACCACTTTAAACACTGTTCTTCATCTTCTATTCAGTTCAATACCCCCGTACACATGTGTCTTCTGAGTCAGCTCAGCAATTCCCACATGCGGTTAGTTGGTGTCAAAATCACCCATCAACACAATTTATTTATAAATTTGTATAAAGAGTTTATATATAAAATAGATTTGAATTGTATTCACGAATAATCTAGCAAGAATATTCATAGCATTTCTAAACAAGTGACCTTTTCTTTTAATTAAAAAAAGGTTAAAATATATAAAAATTGGATGGAATGGACGCATATTCAACTGAAAACATCTAGAGTAGACAAAACAAATTAAGCTAATTAAATGATTTTAGTATAAGTTAATATAGCTGATTAGTTGATAATATATAGTTTTTTTGTCGGGGAAAAGAGAATTATCGATATATTTATTTAGGATTAGTTGCATTTTATTTTTCCAGATTGAGGTTATTTAATTCGCTGCGTTTTTGAAGTAGAATGATTTTCATAACTTGTTGGTTCTTTGTTGATTTCAATTAGATAAACATTATTTACCATGTATTTATCGCGAAAACTGGTCCAATTTGGACAAGTAATCAAGAGCCATGTCATCAATAGACAGTAGACATCAGTTTTGATTAAGTCAATGTGTCTTAAAAAAGTTAGAGTTATTTAAACCCTATCTACACTCCTTTTAAACCCCAAAATTTACTATATTTAAATAATTTTTATTTTATTCCAAAATGAACTTTTTAAACTTTCACTACTTTTTTAATCTTTTTATTTTTTAATATCTTCTTCTTAATACTTTTAACTTCTCGTTTATTTAATTATGATTAATAGACAATAAAATAAACAACAGATTGGTTTAAAAGGAAATCTTTCTTGAAATTTTTTTTCTTTTTTTATTTGTTTATTTTTTGGAAGTGAATGAAATTTTGTTGAAATATACTTGTGATTTAGAAAAAGTTATCAAACCCATAAAAACAAACAAAACAATGGTTGGAAAGAAAATTTCAGTCATGATTTTGCAAATCATGATCGGAAATATTCTTTCAAATTTGTTTTATTTTTTATTTTTTTTCAGATTTTTCATAATTGTTTCTAAATAATGAGTTTTTAAGAAAGAAAAGAAGTTAAAAAAGATTAGGAAATTTAGAGAATTGAAAAAGATTAAGAAAGTGGAGAAGTTAAAGAATATAAAATGGATAACTTTGAAATAAATTTAAATTTATTTACTTCTAATTGATTTTAGGGCTTATAAAAATTTGGAAAAACACTACTCAAAAAGTTATTAGCATTTCTTGTTATAATAAATCCGGATTCTTGAAACTCATATAATGGTCTGACTCAACTGCTCTCAAGTCTCAATACTGGGTAATTGATTAGCTATTGCTTGACTGTTTAAAAAATGGGTCTAACTATGTAAATAATGGACTTGTTGGGCCGATTATTAGCATCATGTGTCTGTTAAAGAGTTTAAATAATAATAATCCTCACTTTTTTCTTTCTGGTTGAATATATATCTATCTAAAGGATAAACTTATATATATATATATATAATATTATATATATAATTATATTTTATATAGGTTTTTTTTTTTTTTTTTTTTTTTTTTTTTTTTTGGTGACCAAGATGTGTGAGCCAGTTTATGCACTTCGACTAATCCTTAGATCCTTAAAGTTAAAGACTGGATAAATCCTCTAATAGTAACCCCCTATTAGGAATTTAACCATTGCAATAAAAAATATTGGTTGTAGATACAGTTGGCTTAAAATTTTTACTTCAACCGAGAAAATGGAGAGAAAAAGACAAAAAATTAAACAAAAATTAAAATTTTTCTTTTGGTAGTCAAAGGAAAATAAAGAAAGTGAGAATGTATAAAATTTATATAAATGGGATTCTTTCATTTTGATCTATAGTTCCTACCATTGCAACAGGTTGAGGAATAAGCGACGGAGCTAGTCATGGAGTGAAAGAATTAGCATATCATCTTTTTTTTTTCTTTTCTTTTCTTTTTTCCCATATTGATTACTGAATTACTCTCTCTTGCACCCTTCCTCGTTCTCACAAAAACAAATATTCTTCTAATTTAACTTATTTTATTTCATAAACATAAAATTCTGTTTCATACAAGATGTAGCCACTTCTAAAACTTCCAATCAATATCGATTAAGACATACATTTTCTTATACTACACCTCAATAAGGACGTTCACCTTCAATATTCCCCGGAGGATAATAACTGCAAATGACAAACCACCATCCATTCTGGCACTTCACCCTCCCACAGCCAAGTTGAGTCGATTTTCACCAAACAACCTGAGTGTAATGCAAGCACTCGTCACCAACACAAGAATTTGATGCATAATCTTATTTAGGCTTCTCGCTAACCCAATTTTACTGCATGCAGTCCAAAACGACGCCATAGGAAAATCCATAAAAAGGTATGTTATATATGAATTTACGAAACTATTGTTTTAATTTGACATGCATAATTCCTGAATAATCTAACAATCAAATATTTTGATTGTTAAGTATGATTTTATTCGACTTTGGATCACATATATATGAAGACCTCATTCTTAATTGTATAATTCATGCTGGCATGACTGCAAACAATCATTTAAAATAGGCCAAATATGTTATAACCATTTGTAATAACTAATAAACTGTAATTTCTTGTTCGCTAAAGGGGAAGGCGCAACTTAAAAAATAATCACCAGCGATGGACTTTTTGTTTTGTGAGCTCCCTACCATATTTACCTTCTGTTAATTGCTAAAATTCTTGAAACTCAGTGCTATTACTATTGTCTGCAAGTTTCGATTGAACTGAAAAAACTTTTTAACTAATAAATTTAACAAGTTTGTTAAATGCTTAATTTGATTCTCTTTTTCAGCCTATAAGAGACTGTATCTTACTCAGAACTCATTGTACCAACTTTGGAGACTTTCTACTTCGCTTCTGGAAGTAAAAGGTATCACATTTGTCTTGTTTATTTGTTTAGCTCCTTTATATAAGGGTAATAGCTATGATTTGTAATAATATGAGTTTGGATTATAGCTAATCTTGTTGCTAAAGATACAATTCAAGTTCAAGGACGCGACTCACATAAATGACTGTTTTCTTGATTGCAGTCTCATACCACAGTAATGGCTCCTCCCTTTATTGGAACCCAAAGTGGTAGCATTAACAACAGGTACACATTGAGNCCAAAACGACGCCATAGGAAAATCCATAAAAAGGTATATTATATATGAATTTACGAAACTATTGTTTTAATTTGACATGCATAATTCCTGAATAATCTAATAATCAAATATTTTGATTGTTAAGTATAATTTTATTCGACTTTGGAGTATATACATATAAAAGGAGACTTCATTCTTAATTGTATAATTCATGCTGGCATGACTGCAAACAATCATTTAAAATAGGCCAAATATGTTACAACCATCTGCAATAACTAATTATAAACTGTAATTTCTTGTTCGCGGAAGGGGAAAGCGCAACTTAAAAAATAATCACCAGTGATGGACTTTTTGTTTTGTGAGCTCACTACTATATTTACCTTCTGTTAATTGCTAAAATTCTTGAAACTCAGTGCTATTACTATTGTCTTCAAGTTTCGATTGAACTGAAAAAACTTTTTAACTGATAAATTTAACAAGTTTGTTAAATGCTTAATTTTATTCTCTTTTTCAGCCTATAAGAGACTGTATCTTACTCAGAACTCATTGTACCAACTTTGTAGGCTTTCTGCTTCGCTTCTTGAAGTAAAAGGTATCACATTTGTCTTGTTTATATGTTCAGTTCCTTTATAGAACGGTAATAGCTATGATTTGTAATAATATGAGTTTGGTTTATAGCTAATCTTGTTGCTAAAGATATAATTCAAGTTCAAGGACGCGACTCACAAATGACTGTTTTCTTGATTGCAGTCTCATACCACAGTAATGGCTCCGCCCTTTATTGGAACCCAAAGTGGTAGCATTAACAACAGGTACACATTGAGCAAATTAAATGTAATCTTTATATACATAGCAAGAGAATGTGTTTTATATTTTACTTAAATTTAATTAAAGTAAATATCTGTTCTTCATTATTCAACCACAGATTCAATTATTTGCTAATTTGTTTGCTGATTTTTGAAATGTTGTGAGCATTTATAGCTCGGAAGAAAATTATGCAGACGTCGACTGGGATAATCTTGGATTTGGTTTAACTACAACTGATTACATGTATATAATGAAATGCTCAATGAAAGAAAACTTTTCACGAGGACATCTTACCAACTATGGCAACATAGAAATCAGCCCTTCTGCTGGAGTCCTAAATTATGGACAGGTAGAAACCAATTTAATTTAAAAGCAGCAATAATGATAATGTGTTGGACTTAGCATTAATTGAGTGACAAATTGCTTCTTTAATGGTGGTATCTTTAGGGTTTGTTTGAAGGTCTAAAGGCCTATAGAAAAACAGATGGTAGAATTCAGCTCTTTCGGCCAGAACATAATGCTCTACGGATGCAAGCCGGCGCAAGGAGATTGAGGATGCCGTCACCATCAGTTGAGCAATTTGTCGAAGCTGTAAAGCAAGTTGTCCTGGCCAACAAGCATTGGGTAATATTCCTTTTTCTCTCTTTGTTTGAATGATCTTAAGTTTTCCGGAACTTTTAAAGATCTCAGGACACCAGTGCATTTGCACTTGACGTATGCTTATTTGTTAACGTATTGTTTCAAATTGATGAACACACAGGTGCCTCCTCATGGGAAAGGCTCACTATATGTTAGGCCTCTGCTCATGGGAAGTGGGTCGGTTCTCGGAATCGGACCTGCTCCTGAGTACACTTTCCTCATATTCGCATCTCCAATCGGCAACTTCTATAAGGTACACTAATTACTTGAGTCATTGAATTAATTTTCTTTTGTTTGATGCAGTATTATTAACAATAATGCCACTGATATATATTACAGGGTAGAGAATCCCTGAACTTATTGATAGAAAGAGACCTCCATCGTGCTGGACCTGGTGGAACCGGAGGCATTAAAAGTATCACAAACTACTCAGGGGTGAGCATAAAATTGAGCTTCATTACATGCCGTGATGCTATATCGAATTGTTTTTAAATTTTCATTGCTTATTGCAGGTTTATGAAACCGTAGCCGAAGCAACGGCCAAAGGATTCACTGACGTCTTATTCTTAGATGCAGTAAGTGGAAAGTACATTGAGGAGATTTCTTCATGTAACATTTTCATTCTCAAGGTAAGAACTAAAGGCCATTCTACACAAATGTTTCGCTTCATTAATATCAGAAGTCCTCTATTTTTTCCAATATTAACAAATCTCTCTTTTTCAGGACAATGTAATTTCAACTCCAGCAACACATGGAACTATTCTGCCTGGTGTCACCCGAAAAAGCATTATCAAACTTGCTTCTGATATGGGTTACCAGGTAGCTATATAATTGCCATTAATTCTGTTAATCGCAATAAAAGGGCGAATTGAGGAAACGTTTTAATAAATAAGTACAATGTTTAGGTGGAGGAACGCAATGTTCCATTGGAGGATTTGTTGAATGCAGATGAAGTATTTTGCACAGGAACCGCAATGGTTGTGACTCCTGTTGCCAGTATGACTTACAAAGATACAAGGTAAAAGAAATGTATATTTATGTTGTTTAATTTCCTTCCTCCTTCGTCCTCTTTTAACAGTGGAATAATTTTAATGTAGGGTTGAGTACAAAACTGGAAATGAAACAGTGACACATAAACTTCACGCAACACTTACAGGGATTCAGACTGGTGTTATTGAGGATAAATTGAGATGGACGCTCCCAATTAATTAATTGAGCTTATCTTCATTGTCTTATGTCCATAGATAGATATATAGTACCTAATAATGTGGTTTTCTAATTAATAATGTAATCACAAAATTTAGCCAAAAGTGCAAAGAATGTTTGGCAGAATATAATATGATTTGAAGATATTATATAGAGTACGTTTGGTTCAGGGAATGTTGCATTATTAGAAAGATAGATTATCAAAGAATCTTTAGAGAAATGTGTTTGGTTGGTTAGAATAAATTGGTAGGTATGTTATAATAATATGTTTGGTTGGGAGGATAAATAAGTGGGTATATTATATAGATTACTAAATTGTCCTCCTTTTTAAATAATAATATAATATTATTTTTATTATTATTTTATTCTATTATTTTTTAAATTATTTCTTTTAACACCCTATATTTGAAATTTTGCTAAAACACCTCAGCAATATAAAACCTTAATTTATAGCAAAATCATCCCCACTCACCCCAAGCCACTACCGGCAACCAGCCACCACCGTCGGCAGCCGTTGTAATGGCACACGACCAACCGGATCTAACTGGTCGTGCGTCGGTAAGGCCTAATCCAGCTATGGATCGGCAAGACCTAGCCATGAATATGGTTGTTTCACGGCCAAAGATGTGGCCATGAAATGGCGACCATTTCACAGCCAAAGATGTGACCATGAAATGGCGGCCATTTCACAGCCAAAGATTTGGCCTTTTCAAGGCTAGATTTATGGCGTTTCATGACCACATCTTTGGCCATGAAACAGCCAAATCTGGCCATTTCTGGCCATAGATCACAAATCTATGGTCAAAAACGTCCTTACCGGTACACGACCAGCAAGATCCTACCGGTCTTGCGCTGATATGATGACTTTCGTCGACGGCCAACGGTGGTCTTGAGTGGTTGGGAGTATTTTGTTAACTTTTAAACTTTTGTGGCTAGGGTGTTTTAGCTAAATTCTCAAATGTTGGGGGTCTGGGTTAATTGTTATTTGGTAGACATATGAGGGCAACTGTGTACGGAATGATAAAAGATTAAAGGCAAAATAGTGTCAAAATTAAGATTACCTCGGTAATCTTATATTAGCACCCCTTGGGAAGGTAATCTGATTACCAACAATATTACTAACAGTAAACACTATTTGTAATAAAAGATTACATAATATTTTATTACTTGACAACCAAACGAGAGAATTTTGAAAATTAAACAAAGATTACAAGATTAATCTTATATCACCCCAAACCAAACGCAACCGTAAGGTGCGCTTGGAACGAGGGTAATCTTTGTTTATTTTGCAAGATTTTGGTGTTTGATTTGCAAGTAATAAAATATTATGGATATCTTTTATTGCATATAGGGGGCGTTTGGATCATATAATATTTTTTTATCTTAGTAATAAGATTTCCAAGTAGAAAGATTACCTTGTAGATTACCAGGTTTAAATTATTATTGTGCTTGGTTCAATTGGAATGTATTAATAATTAATGTACTTGGTTGATAGTAATAACAGATGTCCTTAAATACCCTTTTACTATAATGCCCTTGCAATGATCACTTGTATTACTAATCAATCTGTTTGGTTTGCTGTAACAGCAGATGTCTTGATTACATTTTATTAAAATGCCCTTTAGATAATTACTGGGTGTAAATAATCAACATGTTTGGTTAATAAATGAAATTATCAATTAACAAAATATTTTTTCTTGTATTTTAGCCAAGTATTTTATTGGTAAGTTATTTGTTGAGAAATTTACACAGACTGTTGAAACTCCAAAAAAAACCTATTGTATTTTCTGTTGGATATACATTCAACACTTGATCCTGGTATTGCAACAAATATAGTTGGCATCTCCGAATTTAAAACTCTATCTAAAACTCTGATTCTTGTATTACCATAAATTATAATTCATACATGTTTATTTCTACTTTAATTCAATTGAATCCGGGTCAATTTCTATTTTTCAAGGCAACAGAAAAATAAACTTTTTTTTTTTTTTGTTTAGACCATGCCTGGAATTTAGAAACAATTTTGCATATTTGAGGAAATCTATTAACTTTTTCCACTTATCCTAGGCCAAAACTATGTGTGAAAATTGTGAGAATTATTGGTGCATTTATCATATCACATATTTCGGAGTACCTGTGCACAAAAAATAAAACCCTTTACAAGACTTCACTAGAAATCAAATTAGTCGGTACTCAATACTTGCTCCAAGCTGCATCTTCACAAATTTTGTCTACATGTGCATTGGTAACCCAAACAAGATATCTATCTTGTGAGGTTCCTTGCAAATCTCAGTGGTCGCTGTTAGCATCTTAGTGACTGTGAATCCATCCAATTGAGAAATGATGGAATACACCTACCCTTTTACGGTCTTTCTCTTGGGTTTCCTTCTTGAAGTAGTCAGCAATACCCTTGAGCTCTGCTCGGGTCCCATCCAAGGCAGACTCAAACCTGCCTAATGTGGTGTGCCAGTCTGTTGCTTTTTCGGAATCTTTTTTTCTCTTCTTACTACTGACCGCAACTCTGCTTTGACTGGCAGTGGCTGCCTAACAAGTATAATCAACTACATCATCCTTGGGCGGGCCACTGGTGTGCCCCTAGACATCGACCTGTACATCGGCATCGATGTCCATCTGTTCATCATTGTTCTCGACACTGTCATTATCTAAATCCTCAACAGCATCAGCTGTTGTCTCTGCACCAGCTCCATTGGCCCTGTCTTTGTCGTAGATTGCGACAAAGTAATCATAGTGCACCCATAGTTTGTGTCGCAGTGCTCTTGCAAAAGGATGACTCTACAAAAATGTTAATCATCATAAGATATGCGACATCTATGTCAGTACATATAAACGTGCAGTTTAGAATTTAAAATTTACACAAATAAACGAACACAAGCATACTTACCCGGACCCAGTCATCAAAGACATCCTTGGTACATGTAATGTATTTATCCTCATCATTCCACCCGAAGCCGCTACCTCTCTCAATCATCTCGTTGATTGCATTATATTGCCTCCTCAACATCTTCAACCTCGAGTCAATATGTGGTTGTGCTTTCAGACCGCAATGAGGAAGCTTTTCCCACATCATCTTTTTGACCTCAGTTAGGTAACCACACTTGAACCCCCGCTCAGTTCTCCAAAGTGGCTGCTCTTTCAGCTCCAGCAAACACTCCACCAACACAGCGTCCTTCTTTTTTGTCCACTGCCACTTACTTCCCTTACCCTTTGCCCTGCCCTTTCTGCCCCTTTTTAGAGGCACAGGGTTGTTATGCATGCCAATACTCCTGTCGGACTCCTGGGACCGTGATGCTGACCTGTCTATATTGCTAAAACAAAACAAAAAAAAAAAACCACGATTACTAATATTGTACAAAAAAAATCAGGTTACAAATGTTTGTTTATACACAGTGTCCGATCAACTGATATGCGCGAGTTGAATAATTTTATGTCAATCAGGAAGAATAATACATGAATAGGATGACTTAACAATCAAGCATCCACATTACGACAATGTAAATCAATGTACAAGTCCCCTAACAAAGGTAGATTAGCGTTTGGGTTCATTCATACATGGAAAATCAGAAAAGACATAAATTTAAAGAGTCACAATAGTACACATAAACTAAACAGAAGCACAATCATTCATTCCGCGCAGCCATCCAAGTATTGAACATTTCAGCCGCCAAATTGTCTCTAAATGCAGTCCATGTGGCCTAGGCTCAACGTACCTAATCAATTCACCTTCGTCATCCTCTTCCCCTTCATCGTTTACCTCTTCCTGAAGCTCCGCTTCAACCGGGTCAATGGACAACTCAGACCTTATGAAATTGTACAAAAGACAACATGCAGTAATGATTCTACATTGAGTTTTGATGGGGTAGTAAGATGTGTGCTTCAATATTCCCCATCGAGCTTTTAGGATGCCGAAACATTGCTCAATATAATTTCTTGCTTGAGAGTGTTTCATGTTGAAAAATTCTTGTGGTGATGCCGGTTGGTGACCTTGTCGCCAATCACTCAAATGATATCGTTGTCCTCGATAAAGGGCCAAAAATCCTTCCCCGTTAGTGTATTCAGCATCGCACAGATAGTAATGCCCTAAAATAAACAATTTCAAGTCAATAACAATTACTAAGTGCACTATTATGCCAGACCCTAACATTAAAAATACAATTATTTTGTTATATTACCTTAGGGGACCTTTAATCAATTTCTCCTAGTAATGGCATCCCTAAGAACTCTACCATCTGCAGCGGAACCTTCCCACCCAACGAGTACATATATAAACTGCATGTCAGGTGTGCATACACTAAGGACATTAATTGCGATTTCACTTTTCCTTGACTGATACCTAGGTATATCAACAGTCAGCACGTGAACCTTTATGTATGTTCCATCTAAGGCTCCCAAATAGTTTTAACACAAAACACCAACAACAATATTTTAGAGAAAACAATAACTCTGATTTTAATAAGGTACTGAACTACATGTGCATCATAAACCTAGTGATTACACTGTACCTTGAACCATTTCCACCGCTCATCGGTTGAGTTCTTAGGAATGGCCTCTGGATTTTTAAACAACAGGGTATGCAACCTTAACACAACGTTCAGGACTAAGTAAAAATTGCGGCTTACCATCTCAGTGGATCTACGCATTTGACGTTTCATTACTCTAGTCTTTTGGTTATGGGCAAGGATGTGAAGAAAGGTCCCAACTAATTCTTCTACGGATGAATGACGGGTTGATTTTAAGTTGCCATGTATAGTAAGTAAATTACAGAATTTGTGAAATACAGCCCTATTCATCCTACAGCTCTCAAAACATAACTCATCACTTTGGAAAAGCATTGTGTGTAAATTGAGGGACCTAACCTTAAACCTAGACGCAGACTCACTGGCATATGATATAGCAGCCCTATGTCTACCACGTATATTAAGTGCATTAGCCAACCCAAGAAGGACGAGCATGGTGTACATGGTTTCCAACATGTCCAAATGGAAGAC